ATATATATATATATATATATTAATTCTTTGTAGTCTATTATTTATATTTTTAAATTAATTTAAAGTAATCTACATTAATTGACATAAATGATAATAACTTGTGCCTTTTAATTAAGATATTCATATTTAAATCTTAACTTTAAGTATGAAATAAATTATGTTGAAAGAAAATATCCTTGTTATATATGCTCACGATTTTAATGAAGATTAGTGAAAGCGATAAATATTTCATATTAATATTATTTTTATTAAAAAAAGAAACTAGCTTGAAACTTGAGGATATATTTTGAAAGCATCAAACAATACATCACTTAGTAGTATTAGAATTTCTCTTATTACATGCGATTTTTCCTGTGAATTTTTCATAAAAATTCGTAAAAAACATTGTTCCTACAAATTTTTCTGCGAAATTTTATCTCTAGGTAATACCTTCGTGGATAATATATTTCTACGAATTTTAAAATTTGCAAGAAATTTTTTCTGCAAAAACTTATAGAAAATTTTTCTGCGAAAAAAAGAATCGCAGGAAAGTTTCATGTGAAATTTCCTGCAAATTTTTTCGCAAGAAAAAAAAAGAAATTACTATTCGGATTTTTATTAATAATTCTTCAACTTTCAAATGTTTACAATGAATTTATCTGAAGCATGTAAATTATATGTCTAACACTCAATCATACAAAATCAACTTGTAAGATGAGTGTTGCCCCAACCTAGATACTTTTTAATTGTTTTAATTCTTAAACTTATAAATTTATATATATTTTTTATTTTTCATGCGAATTAAGATTGGCAGGAAAATTTGCAAGAAAAGTTACCTGCGAAATTTTCTACCATTTAATAAATATTACTTGCGAATTTATTTTTATAAGAAAATTCACAAGAAACAAGATAAAATTCTTACAATATTTTCTACAAATTTTGACCATGGAAAAAAATTTCTATGATAATTAAAATTGTAGCAAAATTTGCAAAAATAAAATAAAATTGTGGATTATTTTTCATAAAAAAATTTGTAAGAAATTTCTGTAAATTATTTTTTGTAAATAAATTTACAAATATTTTTGTAAAATTATTATTATAAGAAAATTTACCAAAAAAAATCTGTAAATATTTTTTTAAAAAAAAATTGTAAAAAAAATGATATTTTTCTAGTAATGTAGGCACATCCATGTAACAGCCAAATCTTCTTTTAGTACAATTGAATAATGGTTTTTTAACCGGCTTATTAGATGACCAAAGTTTGATGTGTGTAATTACAATATACCCAGAAGTATGCTGATCCTCCATTAAGCCAGTGAGATTTGATGGCAGATCCTCAAACAGATTAAGAAAAACTAGCATTAAGTGTTTGACATTTAATTTATGCATGTATTAAAACGACTTCTTTATATAATCATAAATTTTATGTGTCATATTTATTCATATAATTTATGATTATTATCTATTAAAAAGTCAATATAAATACATGTATTGTCGTGTCTATTTGAGCTATATAACTATTAATAAGATTGTTACATAATTGTTACCAAAATCGTAATTTACAGAATGTTTTATTTCACGTTAGAAATAGTTGTGTTATATATATATAATATTTAATTAATGTTCCTACCGTAAGTCCACGATTATCGTTAGGGTCACCGCATCCGAGGTATTGTCCGCTTTGGCGTTCGTTGGGCCGTCACGGTTTTATCCTTGAAAAGATGCTTCGGTGGATTAAGGAAGAAGAATGTTTATAAACTACCCTTAGCCTCGACTCTTAAGCGATGTGGGACTTTTAGGCATATTAGAACAATTAATAATATAAAATAATATAATAATAATAATAATACAACCACTAAAACAACAAATAAAAAGTGAGAAGTATTAGTAATAAAAAAAATATAAGAAAATAAGCGGAAAACAAAATATAGAGAAATTGTACGTGTTCAACCACGGTCACTGTTTTAATTATGTACGGTAGTAAATTAATATATATAGTCGTGAAATGTAGCCTGATTTCTTAAATTTTTTTAAGTTACCATGTTATTGATGTGAAATAAAATTTAACTCAATTTTACAAAATAATTTATAAAATAATGATTACCCCAAGTTATAAACTTTTTTTAACCTTACCATTATAATGATATGTGTACCGTCTCGGCCTATTTCCGATACGATTTATAGGAGCGGTTGCTTAAGCCCTTTCGCTTTTTAGGCTCAGGACTGGAAGGCAAGTGTATCGTCTCGGCCTATTTCTGATACGATTCATAGGAGCGATTGCTTAAGTCCTTTCGCCTTTTAGGCTCAGGGCTGGACGACAAGTGTACCGTCTCGGCCTATTTCCGATATGGGCGTGGGAAAAAGGACCGAGACCCACGTCACCCTGCCACGAGGGGTCACTCGGCAAAGGACCGATCCTATTTTGTAATACGAGTGAGCCCGATTAGAATATGACCCGACCACCCTCACAGGAGTTGTCTCGGTGAAAAGATCGACCATATCCAACCAAGTGAGTTAGCCCGGCCTGGGTATGGTCGGCCAAGGGGTGCTCGGCCATGGTGAGATCGACCAGGGTGCGCTCGGCCATGGTGAGATCGGCCAGGCTGTGCTCGACCATGGTGAGATCGGCTAGGGTGTGCTCGACCATGATGAGATCGGCTAGGGTGTGCTCGGCCATGGTGAGATCGGCCAGGCTACACTCGGCCATGGTGAGATCGGCCAGGGTGTGCTCGGCCATGATGAGATCGGCCAGGGTATGGTTGGCCAAAGTCCGAGTGGGTCTCACCCTTTGGACTAGTCCGAGAATCAAGGATGAAAAGCCTATCTTTGATAATCAAATATTCCCAAGGAAAATCGTTATGGAAATCCTCGCACTCACAAGGCCCAGGTGGCCCATGAATAGAAAAGTATAAAACATAAAACCCTAGAGTTAAGACGGCAGATTACACTCTTGAATGCTCTAGCTTTGGAGGCCTGACCTAGGAAAAGAACCCTAGACGCTCCCTTGGCCGGAACATTTTGGCACCCACCGTGGGACTACGGTGAAACTTTTCTTACGCCCCAAGCAATACGGAAGAACCTACACTTTCCTATGGCAAGAGGTGGCACATCAAACAGTGACTCACAACACCCTACCATGGAGGAGATGATGGCATTGATCAACAACTTGAGAGAGGTGAATGTGCGATCTAGGGAAAGGGAAGAGGCCATCCAGCGAGAAAACGAGGAGATCAGGAGGCGAGCGGATGAGATGCATGCTATGATACCGGCCAATACCCGAACGGCGGAGGAAGATGTGATGATGGAACTTCCTAGGGATTTCTGACCTTTCTCGGAGGCTATAGAGGCCGAGATCATCCCGAGGGATCATCGGGTCCCCCAGGTGGAACCTTTTGATGGAACCCAGGATCTTAGTCAACACTTGACGGATTTTCGAGCACAAATGCTGATTTGTGGTGGGAGCATGGAAATTCACTGCAAGTTGTTCATGGGCACGCTCAAAAAAGTAGCCCTTGATTGGTTTAGTGGTCTTCCTGACCGATCAATTACCGACTTCGACGTCTTTAGCCGGCTTTTCATGGCGCAGTTCGCAGCCAACAAAAAGAAACCGCCGATCACGTCAGACTTGTTTGATCTCAAACAGCAACGCGAGGAGTTGTTGAAGGATTTTTTGCAAAGATTCAACGAGGTTGCTTTGAGGATAGTGTCTTTGTATGAAAGGATGGCGGTCATTGCGTTTCAGAAAGGGCTAAGGTCTGGTGCTTTCGACATCGCGCTAGAGAGAGCAAATTGTCAAACGATGTCGGAGGTGAGAGCTTTCGCCCTAAGTCACATCAAGACGGAGGAAGGACAAATCAACAAAAGGGTAGCTGAAAGCCGAGAAGCTGGGGTCGTCCCAAGAGATTTTTATTCCCTATAACGAGGCACCACTAACCAATAATTCCCATTTTATTAAATACCATCTCTTTTATCTTTCCATGATCGACAGGTGTGTTATTTAAAGGCAACAAACTCGTGATTGATCGGTAAAAATCCGACTGGGCGAGTATAAATAACTCGAAGACCAAACTCGTGACTGATCAGTAAAAATATAACTGGGCGAGTATAAATAACTCGAAGACCAAACTCGTGATTGATCGGTAAAAATCTGACTGGGCGAGTATAAATAACTCGAAGACCAAACTCGTGATTGATCGGTAAAAATTCGACTGGGCGAGTATAAATAATTCGAAGACCAACTCGGAAGGGATCTCATTAACCATAAGGTCGGCGTTTTGAAGACCCCCACTATTTTTCTTCATTTTTAAAAGAGTTCGGAATTCGGACGATCTCATTGATCACCAACAATATTAAACTCAGAATTATTTGAACTATTCTTCATGATATCAGAATTAGGACGACCTCATCGTTCAACAATATTTTTTAATTCGAAATTACTTTCCTAATTTTTAAGGAGACTAGAATGTCTCATTCATTATTGCGATCGGCATAACGGCGACTATCTGGTTCGGTATTTCAACTCTAAACTCAGAAAATTATTCTCATTCACTATCGTGATCCGCGTATCGGCGATTACCCGATTCAAAATATTCAACTTTACACTTACAGAAAATTCTTATTGATCATTAAGATCGGCATATGGGCGATTGCCTTTTCAATATGACAAGTTTTTAACTTAGAGATTTTTTCACTCATTTTTTGAGGTCGGCGTATGAGATCGGCGTATGGGCGATGTCCTTTTTAAATATGACAAGTTTTTAACTTAGAAATTTTTTCACTCATTTTCGTGGTCGGCGTATGAAATCGGCGTGTAGGCGACTGCCTTTTCAAATATGACAAGTTTTTAACTTAGAAATTTCTCGCAAATCCATTCTCGATATCTCCAAAAACAGGGGCATAATTGAAAATAATAAGTCTTGCATAGTTCATAACAAAAGGGGGAAAACAAACAATAGAGCATAGTTCATTAGAAAGTAAAGAGACTACAAATAACCAACAATTTTAATCGTCCTCGGGAGGATCCACCAACTCCCCATTATTAACTTTGGTAACAGGCGCCGCCACGTGGCACGTGTACCGTCTCGGCCTATTTCTGATACGATTCATAGGAGCGGTTGCTTAAGCCCTTTCGCCTTTTAGGCTCAGGGCTGGAAGGCAAGTGTACCGTCTCGGCCTATTTCCGATACGATTCATAGGAGCGGTTGCTTAAGCCCTTTCACCTTTTAGGCTCAGGGCTGGAAGGCAAGTGTACCATCTCGGCCTATTTTCGATATGGGCGTGGGAAAAAGGACCGAGACCCACGTCACCCTGCCACGAGGGGTCACTCGGAAAAGGACCGATCCTATTTTGTAATACGGGTGAGCCCGATTAGAATATGATCCGACAACCCTCACAGGAGTTATCTCGGTGAAAAGACCGACCTTATCCAACCAAGTGAGTTAGCCCGACCTGGGTATGGTCGGCCAGGGGGTGCTCGGCCATGGTGAGATCGACAAGGGTGCGCTCGGCCATGGTGAGATCGGCTAGGGTGCGCTCGGCCATGGTGAGATCAGCCAGGCTGTGCTCAACCATGGTGAGATCGGCCGGGGTGTGCTCGACCATGATGAGATCGGCCAGGGTGTGCTCGGCCATGGTGAGATCGGCCGGGGTGTGCTCGACCGTGATGAGATCGGCCAGGGTGCACTCAGCCATGGTGAGATCGGCCAGGCGGTGCTCGGCCATGATGAGATCAGCCAGGATGTGCTCGGCTGATGTGAGATCGGCTAGGCTGTGCTCGGCCATGGTGAGATCGGCCAGGGTGTGCTCGTCCATGATGAGATCGGCCAGGGTATGGTCGGCCAAAGTCCGAGTGGGTCTCACCCTTTGGACTAGTCCGAGAATCAAGGATGAAAAGCCTATCTTTGATAATCAAATATTCTCAAGGAAAATCGTTATGGAAATCCTCGCACTCACAAGGCCCAGGTGGCCCATGAATAGAAAAGTATAAAACCTAAAATCCTAGAGTTAAGACGACATATTTCACTCTTAAATGCTCTGGCTTTGGAGGCCTGACCTAGGAGAAGAACCCTAGACGCTCCCTTGGCCGGAACAATATGAAATTCAAAACACATTTTCTCACATTCAAAGAATTAAAGATCTTAAATATAAAATTTATAAGATTGAATATTTATAAATGATTTGTACGTAAAATGAGAATTGTATCTCACTTATATATTTTTTTTATTGACTTTACCACTAATTGATATAAGATCCTCAACAAATAATCATATATAAAAAATATGAACTTTTATTTTATTTTCATCAATGATTATTTTTTGTTGAAGAGTTTGACTGACCACTTTAATGAAGTCTTTCGTCTCAATTATGTTTTTTTATACATAAAATTTGAATTCAAAATTTTAAAAAATATATGTCTAATATTATTTACATCAACGATTTATTAGTGATTTTTAACTTATTTATTATGTAAGTCAACAATTTCCTATAAATGATGATTTGTGAGAGAAGATATTTTCTTTGCATCACCAATTCCCTTTTATCAAAACAGCTTGTAGCGTTTTATTTGACATTTTTTTTCCTGTGTGCTACAGTTTCTTATACCGAAAACCACATTCTTTCTGAGCTACAGTTTTGTAAATTTTTCAATTATGTCCAAAATATATTTGAAAAAATTTGCAAGTATTTATTAAACGGAAATTGGTGAGTGTGGGAGTCCAAAGGGAGGAGGCGTTATAGAGTGAAAGTCAACCTGAAGGCATAGTGTGAAGTGAAGGCAAAATGGAGTCATAAGGTAAGACCTGTTAATAAGGTAAGCGGTCTCGTGCATGCACCCTTTATATAAACCTCCTTTCACTTTGCATGCACCTTCTCTCTCTAAACTAAACTCACTCACACCCTCTTCCCTCTCTCTCTCTCTCTCTCAAAAACCAACATTAATTCACGTCTCCATCCTCTGCATGGTTGTTGCAGCACTCAGAAACCACCACATACAAAGCTTCACGCTGTTCTTAAGTTTTCTTGGTTGGTTTTTCTGTCCCTTTCTCGTTCATTTCCACCGTTAGGCCATACACTTATTTACTGTGTTTTCTTTTTGTTTTTTTTTTTGTTTTTTTTATTTTGCTGTATTTTTTTAGGGTTTTGACTCAGCAGAGGGTGGTGTGCAATGGAGTTTGAGGTTTGCATGAACATTTGGTGCCAGGATAACGCTTCTCGTGAATGGAAGCAAGGGTGGCCTCTAAGATCGGCTGGATTTGCTAGACTCTGCGAGGAGTGCGGGTAAATTTGATTCCTCTTAATTTTATTTTCCCTCATGCTGGAATTCCATTGTTTTTCTTTGGTGACTTCATGGATTTGACTTTTCTAAAGTGAGCATGATTAAGTGATTTTTCCTGTGACAAATGTTAGCGATTCAAATTCGCCTATTTCCGATTCGTAAACTTAGCCGATATAAAACTATACGATAACACCTAATTTTTTCTGATTCGATGATTTGATCTATGTGATGATTTATCATTCATGGAGGTTGATGAGATCCATCGATGATACCAATGTTTTAAAAGACATTATGTGACCATAATTTTTGCAGGTTTTTAGAGTGTTTGCTACCGAATTACTATCCAAATTGTCGCCGCATGAGTCGCCTTAATTTCTTACAATATCAAAGAACATGACAAAATTGTTACCGCGTCTACAATTTAAAACCTTATTTGAATGATATTTAACACATTTACATTTTCTTATACTATCATCAACTGGGATTTAGGGGAGCTGAATCCTGATTTTACGATATAACTTTGGTTTTTGACGTGACATTTTTTTTTGGATGATTTTGGGCTTTGACTTGGGTCTTGTTATGACTTCAAATTGGATAAGTAAAGTTCAACGCCTTTTCTTTTCGAGATTTTATGGTTTTATGCAGGTGTGACTAGTTGCATTGTCTTCTAATAATAATGATTGTGTTATTCGTGAATGATTGTAGTTCTTCGTTAATGTAATTAAAGGAGCTAGTGAGCTACTTCTCTAGTATTAAGTCAAACCAGATTTTTTTTTCTTCTATTCTTTTCAAAAACAATTCACGTTTCACTGATTAAAGTGTGAGATACTGTGTTCGAAAGTCTAATGGGAGCATATTTCTCGGCTTTATATGTTACTTTATATGTTACATTCAAAACATTTCGTAATATGATTGGTGATGTATTTTGGAGGCCAGGGTATGAATAGAAACAATTAAATAGTTTTTCTTTGAGGATGGGGATCAATGTAGCTGATTTGGGTATTTTCTAATGGTTTTGTTAACATTGGCCCTCAGGGTTATTTTAAATAACTAAACGAGGAAGGTTTTTTATTGGAAAATAAGATATTTATTATAGTTTTGTATGTCTGATATAACAAGTGTTTTGTTAGCTGCTTAAAATAATCCTGAGAGTTAATGTTAACAAAACCCTATTTCTAAAGATAAAACAAACGAAAGTGTTTTTTTTTTCTTAGATGCAAAGTCATTCAGAAGCCTTTGCCTGATAACTTAAACTCTAGGGCACAGTTAGTTTATAACCTTATATTTTAGCCTCTATGTCTAAGTAAGATATTTGTCCATTACTCTATGCCTCAAAGTCCAAAGGCCTCTTGCACGAGGGGGCATGTTTAATATAAAACAATTTATGAACCTTAACCAAACAGCTTGAGCTTTTAAGGTAGTTAATTTAAGATGTAATTGCAGGGAATAAGAATTATGAAATAGGTATATGGTGTATATTTATGCAGTTGAACACGTACGTGCTGATATTTGTTGTAAATGATTCTTATAGTTTGATATTCTTCTTAATTTGTTTTCTGTTTTATTAAATTCTACCTTGATGGTATTTGTATGCGTTTTGAAATGTCTTGTTCATCTATATAAAGTTGGATTCAACTCCTATAATAAAGTGCATGGCGCACTTAAGAGGGTACAGTAAAGTGGTAACGGATGATGAAAAAGTCAAGGCACCGTTTACTCTCTAGAGTGCACGTTCACTGTAGAGGATCTTCTTCATATATAGTTATTTTCAAATTGAAATGGAACATAGGTTTGATTTTTTTTGTCAAGCTGTGTCACAACTACTTGCAATATTAATCTACCTATGCTTTTCTCTTCCCTTTTTTTATATTCTAAATCTTCCAATGCTTATTTGCTAATAATAGTTAATTTTTTTGTTCTATTTCCTGCATGGAAATTCTTAATGTGTCGCTCTGTATGCTGTAGATCTGCCTATGCCAATTCAATTTTCTGTGAAACATTCCACAAGCATCAAGCTGGTTGGAGAGAGTGCAACGATTGCGGCAAGGTAAAGCGATAACATAATTTTTTCTTTTTTCTTTTCTATTGAAATTCTATACAGGTCTTGCCTTTCTCTCCTTAGACTTCGAAGTATATTGTTTGACACTCTGACTTTGTTTGCAGCCTATCCACTGTGGATGCATTGTATCGAGGTCTTTGTTTGAGTACCGTGATTCTGGCGGTATAGATTGTGTTACCTGTGCACAGGCTTCCCAACTTCGTTTGGTTAGGATAATCTCAATATTCATTTTTAAAGAATGATTTTCAAGCCTATAGTATATTTCCATTGTAATTAATGGTTGCTATCTATATATATTTTAGTTTATCTATATATATTGTTGCGAAATTGTACTTCTGGAATTGCACTTTTTGCGCTTGGATGCGTAAATTTTTATTAGTTATTCACTGCAAGAGTGGTTGCAAATATAAGAATATTATTGTTGAAAATTGAAATCATACGGATCAAATGCAAACATGTCACTAATAGCCTTCAAAATGTTGTGTGTTATAAAACAGAAAACGTAGTGCCTGTTAATACAATAATACTAATAACCTTTTCCGTTACCAGTGAGGTACAACTTTTGATATTGCCTAATGCCTATAAAAAGTAGACAAATGTGACTTCAATTATGTATTTGAAGACTAAAATCCATATTTATTATAATGTAGTTGTTAATTTCTGGACCTGTCTCTACTTCTGTCATGTAGTTCTTTCTCTAATGATGTTTAGCAAATTGTTTCTGCTAACTTGTTCTTCTTAGTGTTACTGTGCCCTGATCTCCTGTTACTGTAGTTGTTTCATTATTTGATTGACATTGTGTGAGACGTAGTTAATTAGCAATAATTTTGAAGAGGCTCCACTTAGACATATTATAACTTAATGTTTTGCTGCAGATGCGGGCAACTGAAAACCTCAATGCTGTTAGATCAATAAAAAATAATGCAAATGATCGTCACACTGAACATATTGACGGTAGACTAATGGTGGATGGTGCTGGCAAAGGAAAAATGGTGCAACTGTGTAGAATTGTCGAAGCTAGTGAACCCAGCCGTTGGCCTCAATCAGAAAGAGAGGTGATAGATTCATGCAATGGTCTAAACAAGCAAGATGATACAAGATTTTCAAATGTGATGAAACCGCCTAGCCATTCATTAGCAATAACTACATCAGAAAATAATGGACCAACATGGGTGACTGGAAGTATGGACAAATCACATCCACTGAATATTTCTATAGGAACCTCATCAGGAAATTCTGTCCTGACTTCTGCTCTAGAGAGTTTGGAAGAGAGACTTGAGGGTAAAGCATTGTCTTCTCCCTTTCATCAAGGCCAAAGGTCTCTCTCCATGAAAATGGAAGGGCTGATTCCTCCTCAGGAACGCATTGCCAGGCCACCTGCTGATGGGATTGGCAAGAGTCTGTTACTTTCTCGATACTGGCCAAAGATGACTGATCATGAGCTGGAGAAATTGTCGGAGTGGTATCCTTTATATATATTAACTAGCATTTTAGCGTATGATACATTATAAATGTTTACAATATAGTAGTAGATTTGGTCTGTTCCAAGTCATCTACATTGACCATTAACATAAGGTTGATTCATCTCCGGTTTCCCTTGATGTTATTATCACAGTATGAAGTCTATTGTAGTGCCATTATTTGAGAAGACACTGAGTTCCAGTGATGCTAGTCGAATTGGTCGTCTTGTTCTCCCAAAATCCTGTGCTGAGGTATGCCTTTGTTAATTTAATCATTATCTCTATCTGTCTGTGCACATTGGACTCTGTTTATGCAGTTCTTTTAAGTTATTTTTTTGTTAAAAGAAATATATCGTCAACCGGTAATTGAACCACATCTGATCTGACAATTTTGCATATAAATTTCAGGTTTACTTTCCTCCTATTACACAGTCAGAAGGTCTTCCTCTGCAGATGCTAGATGTTATGGGAAATGAGTGGATATTTCAGTTCAGATTCTGGCCTAACAACAATAGTAGAATGTATGTGTTGGAGGGAGTAACCCCTTGCATGCAGGCCTTGCAATTAAATGCTGGTGATACTGGTATACATCCATCTCATTGGTGTTCAAAATGTTTATGTGGTATCTGATTTATGTCTAAATGTTATCAACGGTGCATGTGTTTTCATGGCAATAAACTTTTTGTAATTGTTTTCAGCGTATGACCCTATTGTTTCCCTGTACATTATTTGTTGTGTGCTATGTAGTGATTAAGGGCATATATACACGGGGAAACTAATATATCTTGCAAATTTGAAGTTACCATGGATTAATTTGATTTTCTTTTTGCCAGTGATATTTAGTCAGATGCATCCTGGAGGCAAATATGTTTTCGGTTTCAGAAGGGCATCAGGTTCTACAGATACACAGGTGAATTATTTTCCATTTTACTGTGTTGCCTCTTCTTTAGATAATACATCTATGTTATTCTCTTCTTTAGAAAACATGTCATTATTGAATCAGGATGCCATGCCTCTAATCTAATGGTTTTTCAACACAGGAAGCAAACTTATCTGGTGCAACTGCAAATCTTCGCTCAGGAAGTAGTTATCATAATCTTCTCCTGAACTGGAAAAGGAAGAGAGAAGCTTTCTTAAATGGATGTTCAGAACATTTGCGTTGGGGCATTGCTAGTCTTCAAACTGAAAATTGTGACATGGTAAACAATGATTTGTTGCAGCTGCCACCAATTTCAGTTTCAGAGAGGATGACTCAAACTACTGGGCCAAAGAGGTTGCTCCCACCTAATGATGACGCTACGGAGTTGAGAGTTACATTGGAAGAAGCACAGAACTTGCTTAGTCCGCCACCTAAGGTCAAGCCAGGTATTATAAAAGTTGAGGATCAAGAATTTGAGGAATATGAGGTAAGTGTGACTCTTCATGGCAGTGCATCTTTTTATTATATTGGTTTGTTAATTCAAGGTGAATATGGTCTGAGATATAGTGTGGACTTTGGAGCTTTATATTCAAGTTTCTGTTAGCTGGCTAATCAATCTTTGTGACTTGATTTTATTAAGGAACCCCCGGTTTTTGGAAAGAGAACTGCAATCAATGCACATCCATTAGGGTAAGATTAAATACAGTGCATATTTAACATTGTTTTGGTATTTTATTCAGTAGAAAATCTTGATTGTCCACTAGCAGCTTTATATGTTGTATGTAGCTTGATCTTGCCTTCAAATTTATTCAGACAAACGATGATGGTATTCGTACTTTTTTGGATCCATTTATTTTATCCATTGATGATCCAGCTTCTGTTTAATAAATTCATAATCTCTGCTTTAGCTGTAATACCACAGTGCAATCTTGGAAAACCGTTTGTCCTTAAGAATCGCTGTTTGACTGTTTGTAACTTGCAAAGGATTATCCTTAAATGACTTTCTTTTGTTAATTTTGCCCTAGAACTCTTAGGTAATTGCAATTTTATCATTATTGTAAGTGGAATAGATTAAATAAATAATTTTAAAAAGTAGTTATACAATAATTTTTAATACCATGGTTCTTATTATTGACAATGACTTTTCAGATCTCTAAACTCTGCATCAAAGGAAATGAGTCCAAAGGAATTAGATAATATTCTGACAACCAGCAAAGGTATGATGCTACTATATATTTTTTTTATATATTCTTTGCATTAGACAAATTGTCTTGTACTTTGTCACAAGGGGTTTGACGCTACTGTACAATTGATTGAATGCTCATAGTGTTGGAAGCATATGCTAGTTTTTACATTCTTAAACTTTATCAGGGTGGTGGATTGATAGCTTTGTAAATTCTATGTTTGCAATTTACATTCATACTCCAAAACTGTTTACTTATATATGGAAATCGTGTAGTTTCTACTAATATGTTGTGAATCAATCAGACATTGGTATAATTATTTTAGAAAGCCAACAAACTTATCATATCTTAGTTTGTGATTGGATGGCAGGGTAATTCTCTTGAAATAATAGATTTTTTGCATACCAAGTAGTAATCCTTTTAGTTTGGTGGAATAGATGTTTACAAATTCGCTCAATTTCTGTATTCTATTTAACCTTGGTAATTACTAGATAAATAACTCTTCATTTTTCTGTCTGTATGTGATCTTCCCCAGATTTAAAAAAGCGAAGAAGCATAAGAAAACCTGACACAGCTCAAGAACATGAGCCTCATGGCTTGAATGCACTAGCCAGCGCTGCAGCTTTGGGTGATGACCTTGTTGAGCCTGTTGGAGCCACCACGAAGCATCCGAGGCACCGTCTTGGATGCAGCTGCATCGTATGCAGCCAGCCCCCAAGTGGTAAGGGGAAACACAAGCCTACGTGCACATGCATTGCCTGCGTGACCATGAAGCGCAGGTGCAACACCCTCATGGCTCGTAAGAGGAAACGTGGCCAATCAGATGATGATGCTCTCGCTCGGGATGAAGGAGACACAAATGGTGCACCCAGAGATCAAATAGATCTCAATTCGCATCCATATCCCGAAGACATGCAGGTGGATGCATGAAACAATAACATATATATACTACCCTCTAGGGGGTCGGAATATAATATTATATAATATATGGACCAAATTAAATAGCTTAAAACTTTAACTCTCAACCGTGGTTTAGATTAGTCTTCTTTACTTCATCTTCTATTTCGAAGCTGGATATATAGAAGAGGTAAGTTATTGTTCTCAATCCAGTCAAGGTCGGAACCATATCTGTTAATACTTGTTAGATTTCTCATTTCTCCTTATGCAAACAAAGTATATATAGTTTGCTTTCCTTTTCTAAAGGGTCGTAAAAGATAGTTCTGTTCTTACATTTAAGCGTGTAAAATTTTTTACTCTTGTTTGTTTGAACTTTCTCCTTTTCTTTATATATGAGTTTAACAATGTTTTTTTTTTTTTTATGAAAATGAAAATAGGATGTGTAGCCATCATCATATTGCATGTAAATTTCTTACTCAGTCCAAGTTCCAACGCACGGTCAATGTCCGGGTCCGTTTGTTTCAAAAACAAATTTTTAAAAAAAGTATTTTTTTAAAATAAAATGAGTAGTTTTTTTTTTTGTTAAAACTATTTTTTAAAAGGAAAAAAGCAATTTTTTTCACTTTTATAAGAAACAACTCTTCTCTACTTTCTAAAAAAAAATTGTTTTCTTTAAAATCATTCTTTTAAAAAACATTAATTTAAACACTCGTTCAATATTTTCTTACATTCAACTTTTAACAAATTTCGGCACACCCTACCTTTTAATTTGATGAAGAAAAAAAAAGAGATAAATTTTGTTGACTTTAAGTTTATGATGATTCTTTCGTATGATAAAAGATTGAGCGCGAGTTTGGAAGAGCG